AGGCTGGCTTTCCCCGCTGACTTTTGGATCCATCAGCTGACGTGACACAACCTCAGCGTGTACATTTGTGCCTTGTCCTTGCCAGGGCATCACACTTGTGTCCAGCCAGGCTGTGAGCAATGCCAGGAACATGGGGTGGCCGATCAAGGAAGTTGTGAAGGGCGTGTTTGAAACTGAAGCCCCGGGAGGATACAAGTTCTACCTGGAAGACAAAGAGCAACCAAAGCAAGGTAGTGTCTACGTGTGTCTGTAGCGCTGCTCTGGAGGTGCCTGTGACCGGAACAGCAACCTAGATTACAGATCTGGCTCGACTGAGCTCTGCAGGAGCCTGCACCTGTGTTACGTTGTTGGTGTTTGTTTCTGGCTGAAGAGCCAGGGGTTAAAACTCCTCCCTACCTGCCACTAACGGAAAACTCTTACGGTCTTGCAGATCCTGTGCTGAAGGTAGCATTGGCTGTCTCTGATCTGCAGAAGTCTGTTAACTACTGGTCGAATCTGCTGGGAATGAAGATATATGAGAAGGACGAGGAAAAACAAAGGGCTTTACTGGGCTATGGAGATAACCAGGTTAGTCCTTTCGGCAGACTGACAAAATAGCATTTTGTTAGCCACATGCGTCCTGCTTTCTGAGAATGGCCAATCTGGAAATGAACCCTTCTGATGAGAAGCAGAATCTGCTTCTCAAAACACTTGTTTTACTGGTGTGCCGGCCTCCCCGCTGGCCCCTGACACACACTTGGGGAACCTGCTTTTCTTTGTAGCATCGCAGTTTACGTTTTAAGTCTTGGACATTGAAGGTTGGATAAATAATACCCAAGCCTCATTTCACAAAAGGGTCATTTTCTAAAGCAGCTTAATAACTACAAGAATAAAAGTGCAAGGAAGGGGCATAAAAGTTGAAATGCAGAGAAAGTAACTAAGTACAAACAGCATTCAGTGACTTTCTCCAAGACACTGACATGAGTACAAGCTGCTTGTCTTGATATGTTGTAGCCAAAAATTATGATTGGCAGAGATTCCTGGGAAAGCATTCCCTCTGCTTTTAGTGCCGTGTCTGTGCTTACAGGTTTGTTTTCTATCAAGTAAAAGTTGCACCAATGCCCTACTGCACTGGGAAACGCGTGGCTTTGCGGTGTTTACTTTGCCAGGGAGCAACAATTAGGGTGCGTGCAAAAAATGAAGGTGGGTTTGTCTGTGAGCTGACCTGGTTGCTTCAATCTGTTTCAGTGCAAGTTGGAGCTGCAAGGCATCGGGGGTGCAGTGGATCATGGCACGGCTTTTGGGCGGATTGCCTTCTCCTGTCCAAAGGATGAGGTACCTATCTGTTTCCCTGCAACCTCTGGCCATTTCTTTGGTTGCTACAGCTGGCATGGGGAAGGCCCAGGGATGATCTTATCAGTAGTCTCTGCAAGGTCTCTCCCAGTCTGTATGTAACCAAGACCATCTCATCAAACACGCTCTGCTTAATAGTCTCCCTGGTTCATGAGGGAGATGTGGGCGATGAGGACAGCAAGTGGTCACTGGCCTGGCAGGACACAGCTGACTTTGTCATCGTATTTTGTTCTCTAGTTACCGCACATTGAAGCACTGATGAAGAAGGAGGAGCAGAAGATTCTAACACCGCTGGTTAGCTTGGACACCCCTGGAAAAGCAACTGTTCAAGTGGTTATCCTGGCTGATCCGGTGAGTAGCACTAGAAATAGTGATTGAATTCAAGTTCCTGCTGTCTCTCCCCAAGGGTGTCTCACTCCCTCTTCCGTTCCATCTGCTCCAGGATGGGCACGAAATCTGCTTTGTAGGAGATGAAGCATTTCGAGAGCTTTCCAAGGTGGATCCAGATGGCGACAAGCTGTTAGATGACGTAAGTATTCTGTTCTGTGTAGGGTAACTGGAGAAAGGGAAGGGCAACAGGAGGAGGTCTGTGCTTCTAGTTAGGAGCGGCTAGGCCTCCTGGACACGTTAAAGTGGAGTCCACTTGGCCTTTGAAAGGAGCTGCATTGCGTTCCAAGTGGGATCTTTCAGTGAGTCCGTCCTGCAGTTGCTTTTGCCCATCTGCTCAATGCTGAAGAACTGGCAAGGCTTGGGGAAATTGAGGGAGCAAATCCATTCAGAAACCCCCAAGGCATGACTGTTTTATTGGACTCTTCATCCAATGCATTTATCTGGTGGAGGGGAGGGGTAGGTGCTCCCTGCCTCTACCTGCTGCTGAAGTAAGCCGTTCTTCCGTACCAGCCAGGTCTTCAGCTCAGTGGAGTCCAGCTTGTGCAGAGGGGTGCCTCCCAGCTCCGTTTGGGAAGTCAGCCAGCCCTCCCTTTGTCTGGCACTGACCTAAAAGCGTCCTGAATGCCCTGGCTTCTAAATGGCAGCTGTTCTAATAGCTGCTCTTTGTTTATACAGGCTATGGCAGCGGACAAAAGCGACGAGTGGTTTGCTAAGCACAACATGCAGAAGGCTTCTGCTTAGTGCCTGCATGAGAGAGAGAGGATCTCCTGGTAATGCACACCTTGATTTCAGTACAAGCTAGATATCTGGAAGATGTGATATGTGTGATTGGATGTCATGTCCTCCCCCTCAGTGAGAGATGGTACAATGCCCTGTGATTTGAATGACTTCCATGTCTTAGTGCAACCTAAAAGACAGCTCTCCTTTTGGGTAAATGGCACCTACTGCTTCATCTGGGCGGGGAAGAGAAAGCTTCAGCTGGGTGTAATAGGTAGGTGTAGCATGTGGTGTCATGACTTGGGAGTCGAGTTCATGGTTGGAAATCTCTTGTACTTTGCCTTTCCCACTAAACTTGAGAAAAGCCCCAAGCTTAGCCTGCTGCTCCTTTCCAGAGTGCGAGTGTGTGTTGACAGTGGTAGATTAGGAGTGAGGAGTAGCTCAGTTTTGTGGCTGCCTTGTCAAATGAGACCAGAACTGAACTGCTGCACAACCTAAAATAGAAAATACAGTGCTAGCAAGCAGCAGGAAATGAAACAGCATCAGGGCTGCTCAGTTCAACATGTCTGTTCAAGCCAGAAACAATGAAGACTGGTTTAGATTGGGGCAAGAAGAGTTATTTGTAGACGAATGTTTAAGTTTTCATTTTCAAGCAAGACATGGCTAAAGCAAAAGGAAAGCTGTGGAGCTAATGGCTGATGCTTGCTCTGTGCATATAAGATGGACTGGACAACTCCAGAGGTGCTGGGAGCACTTGCGTTCCTGGAGAGTGGGCAAGTAGTTAACACAGCAGTCCACTCTCTAGCATGTGCTTGACTGCCGCCGCGTCTGCTGCATGTTAAGAAGGGAACCGCTTTGGGATTGCTTGGTGGGGAATGTTGCATGCACTTTGCCTTGGCTGTGCAGAGGATCTCGCTGCTACACGGGGGAATCAACTTGCCTTAACTCTAAGAATCCCTGCCTGTCTTAGGAGAGCTGTCACTGTGCTTTAGCTGCGCTGCTGTTGCTGCTTTCCTGTGGTCCATCTGCTCCTGAATCAAAGTGACTTGATACTGGGAAACTTGCCTAGAGCCTCATGTGAAGCATTTGTATTGGAGGTCTTATTTGACTGGGTCCACAGGAAGCTCAGCTGTGTTTTGCTTCTCACGAGGGAACACAAACACCGCACATTCCAAGTAGGAATGGTCTGTTGAGTGGGGGTGACCTAGCAAAGTAGAACAAGTCAGAACTTGCTTTAAAGGTGGTGAAAACTGGCCTGGAAAATGAACAGCTGCCTAGAAATTAGCTTTGTTTAACTACTTTGAGAACTACCTGCTGTTAAAAGAGCTTTAGTAGCTAGGAGAATCAGCTTAAACCTCTGCTTCTGCTGTTGGAACGGTATGTACTGAATCTTGAATCTACCCAATAAATAGCAACAGCGTACGTGTGCTCGTGTTTGCTGGCGCTCAGTCGCCCCCTGTGAAAAATCCAGCGTTGTGAAAGGATTACAAAAAAACGGGGCCCCCAACCCAGGTTGCTTTCTTCCAGATCCCAAGATCATAAAAACATGTCACGTAATGGGGCTCCTTTGGGGAGCGCTTTGGTTCATAGGTGTGGTCTGAGTGTAGTGGTGCAGTGTGAAGCTGGTGGAGCTCTGCCGGCTGGTGCCAGCAGCTGACCTAGCCCAAGCCGGGTGAAGGCTGTCACACGGTTTTCTAGGTAATGCCGTTAGGCAATAGTTCCTTGTCTGCTTCAGCAACATTGCATCTCTACGCCAGCCTGGCTGCTGAAGGATTCATCTGTTGCTGGTCCCTTGACATCACAATTTGAATGACATCACAGCCTTCACCAAGCAACCAGCTTCAAAGCCATGGGGCCTACTGCACTGGTCAAAGCTGGACGCTCTCCGGCTGTCATGTAACTGTCTCCCCACACTAACCTCTCATCCTGGCACCCGGGACAGACCTCCTCCCCCCAGGAACCCTTTCCCCTGGTTGAGCTCTAAGCCTGGCTAACCGGTGAGCTGCAGCGTGTGGCTCCGGCTGGCAGCATCCTGCATCAGCTGAGTTAAAAAGGGAAATAAAGAGGGTTGAAGGGAAATAGCAGGCAGAGGTGTTGTCTGGGTTAATCCAGGCCTGTTATGGATTAACGCTGCTGCGGCACTGTGCCCATGGCGGAGGCTGCATCTGTTGTAAGCCATGCAGCTGCATCTCCTCCAGTCCCCGCAGTGCTCGAGGTGGTTTTAGAGGGTTATTCTCTCTAGGGTACTCTTTAAGGGAGAGAGACGGAGCGGTCAGCACTATCCCAAGCACAAACTCTATAACCAACCCCATCTAGAAACGACCCCCACCTCCCTCACACTAAGCAGCAAATTTTAAGCCTTGTTTGTCACTACAGCAACGCTTGGAGACAGCCAGGCAGCTCTCAGAGCTGGGCCCAGGCCGAGAGGCCAGTGAACGGAGCCACATAATGGGGACCGGGAACAATGAAGGGCCTGTTCGTAACCTGGAATGAACCTCCCCGCTTGCAGAAATGCTCACAGGGCAGCTCCCCTGACATCGGACGCGTCCACTCCAGAGTGTGAAGGCAGTTTTATTGGCCTGGCAGATGCACGACTGGTCAAAAGGAAGGGGAGGGCAAAGAGGAAGCATACGAGGGGATGAAGTGACCCATGCTGGGGGGACCAGACCCCAGCACGCGCTCTGATTTACGCGCCGTACTTGTTCTTGAGCTCTTGGACTCGGGTTATGTAATTCTTCCTGGCGTCTTCCTTGCTCATCCCTTTGCGCCCGTTCCAGGCCTCCCATTTGGCCTTGCCTTTGACATCCACCGCGCAGGGACAGGAGATGTTGACGTCGCCGATGGTGGCTTGTTTGTAGAGACTGTAAATCTCCAGCAGCTCTTGATCGGTGACCTTGATCTTCATCTGCAGGACCATAGCCGCCACCTTCTCAAACTCGGCTTGAGACATGGCGTCCGCTCAGGGCCGACCCTCCTTCCCTTTTCTCCAGGCGCGGGGGACTGACCCAGGCTGCGACCACTGGAAGGAAATACAGTTGCCGTGAGCAGAAATACTTCACGTGGCCTTACCGTTCAGCCTGAAACGAGAACGTCAGTTCTCTGGGACTTCGCCTCTCCTTCGTCCGGGGGAAGAGAGCCTGATCGGAGGGTTTGGGCACGGTGCCTGGGCTGAGAACGGGGCTGTAAAACCCTGGGACCGAAGCGTGTGGTCATGGTGAAGCGTGCCACTGCCTCCACCCCCAGGATCGGTGCCTGCCGTCCCCAGCCCCTTGCCCGTGGATGCCCCCTTCCTCCTCCTCCTCCTCCGCTGCGGGGTCTGGGCAGGGGCAGAGGCCACTTCTGCGCCCTCCAGCCCCTCCTGGGCTGGGGAATTACCGCGCTGCAGCGCTGCTGGGAGCCTCCAGGGGTCGCTGGCGCCGCGGGAGCCGCTCGTGCCGCCGCGCGTCTCGCTGCTTCCGGTCTCGCTGCTTCCGACTGCGGCGCCACGTGGGTGCGGGGGCGGCTGCATCACAGAGCGGCGCGGGGCGCCATGGAGCCGGGTGGGTGGCCCCTGCCCTGCCCTGCCCTGCCCTGCCCTGCCCTGCCCGAAGCTGTCCCTTGTCTCCCCGCGCCTTGTCCCGGCCCCTGAGAGCAGCCCCCTCCCGCTTCTCCCCCGCAGACTAAAGCAGCCCCGTCCCCACCGTGTCCCCAGCCCTTTTCATTGCAGCCTGCAGCGGGACGCACGACTCAGGTGTGGCCTGGGCAGCGCGGAACAGAAAGGGAGATTCGCTCCCCTGCATCGCTGGCAGCGCCCCTAGGAACGTGCGCTAGCCGGCTCGGAAACGAGCTGTAGAAAGGGGCGTGGGGCCTTTTCCTTCACACCTGCTGAGCATCCTTGTACCTCCGGGCTGCTAGAGGCGGAGAGGGGCCCCGCTGTGCTGGCAGGGGCTGCGTACGCTCCACCCCAGAGGAGGCAGGTTGAGAGAGGGGCGTCTTGCTTAGCCCCGTTTTACGCACGCGGAGAGCAAAGACTCGCCACCCGTGGTGTGCAAGGAGTCTGGGCAGCAAACCCAGGCCCTCCCAGTGCCAGCCCCGTGCTCTCAGCCCTGGGGGCTCCTTCCTCTCCGCTCTAACCTCGTGCGTTGCCGTTTGAACAGGGCCCATGAACATCTGTGAGGAAACCGCGGTGCTGCACGGCGGGTTCCTGCTGGCCGCGAAGCGCTATCACCCCAAGGCACTGGCGGATTTGGCCAAGGCTGACTGGCACCATGTCGGGCCACCCATCACCGATGCCTTGAAGGAGATCTGTGCTGGCCGCACCACCTCCCTGCCCCAGCCCCGCAGCTGGAAGAAGAAAGCCGTCATGATCATCTGGGCCAAAATCCTCCTGCCCAGCCCCGGGCCCTCCAAGGTTGACCAGAGGTGGAAAGATGACGCCTTCTTCTCGGTGTGCAACATGATCCCCCGTCTCAACCGCACGGTTCTGTTTGAGCTGCTTAAAGCGTTGAATGCACCCCGGCTCTTTGTGCAGCTACTGCTGGCACTGCCCACGGGCATCTGTCAGCAGGAGCTCGAGCTGTTGGTTGAGCACGTTGTGAATGAGACGACCCCATCGGACTTGAGGTTTTTCTTGGACGTCTGGTGGGAAATCATGAAGCACAAGGAGGGGCAGCAGGACCAAATGATCCTGACATTCAGTGCCCTTATCCACCAGCACCTGTCCGAGCCACTGGATGAGGGCTGCCAGCCTCCAAAAAGGTTTAAAGGCGATCCCCTGTCCGTGCACGACTCCCCTCTTACCACCGAACTGCTCACAGTCCTGGTTGATGGGCTAAAGCATCTCTATGGATGTATTGTCACTCCCAGAATGAAATGCTATGCCCTGGCCAACCTGGTAGATCTGCTGTCGGTGTTCACTGTAGTAGAGCAGGAGTCCAGCGTGCTGCCCACCGTGGAGTATCTGGACAAGATCACATCCGTAGTCATTCTCTGGAATGGTGACCGTGAGAGCCGCTACCACCCGCGGGGGCTGGAGGAGAAGGTGAAGGAGGCGGAGCGGAGCGTGAGCTTGCTGTCCGTGGTCAAGCTGTCCAGCGAAGAGCTTTTTGTCGGCTTACGCTTCTTCCACAACCTGCTGCAGGGCTGGAGCGAAGAGCTGCAGTGCATGCTGAACAGCCGCCAGGAGGTTTGTTACGAGGGCTACCGACTCCTCGACAGCCTTGCCACCTTCGGGAAGAACCTGCTGTGCTTTGCCGAGGCCAGGGAGCTGGGCAAGGATGAAAAGCAGGTGGTCCTGGAGCTGGCAGAGATCATCATGGGCTTCCTTAAGCAGATCAACCCTGACCTGCAGGGCAAGGACTCAGACAGCAGCGTTATGGCCTCGGTGGCCATGACAATCATTGAGCAGAAGATGGACAGGCACCTGGAAATGTGCTCCATTTTTGCCTCTGAGAAGGCCTGGGCCTTCTCGAGGGACTGGGTCGCCTGCCTCATCAAGAACAAAGTCCTCTTCCAGAAACCAGACCTGGTTTTGAAGCTGCTGGAGACCACGGTGACTTTCAGTCTCTCCTCCAACAACCGAGAGAGCCAGGAATTGCAGGTCAAGGTAACCAAAACCATCCTGGAGTGCTACACTGAGCTGTCGCTGCCCGACAAGAACAAAGTGATCTCGGGCGTCCTGGACTCCTGGGGCGGGCGGGGCCTATCCTTGAGCTTGAAGGCTTTCACCGAGGGCTTCCAGGAGGAACTGAACTTGGCTTTTAACCAGATCACGCGAAGCGCGTCAGATCAGGGCCTGACCAAGGCTGTGGCCTCGGTGGCGAGGCTGGCTCTGCTCCACCCAGAGGCCACGGTGAAGAAGGTTTGCAACCTTGCAGTCGTCAACCTGGGGACACACGAGTTCCTGGCACAGATCCTGTGCTCATTCCCAGCGCTGAGCTTCCAGGAAGCCCAGGAGGGCTTGGACAGGGGGGGCAGCCTGCTGGTGAGGTGCCTGAAGGAGACGGTGTGGGGGAAGCTGTCTACTGCAAAAGAGAAGGAGCAGTTCCTAGAGTTCTTGGCTGTTCTCCTGCAGCCAAGCTCGGCAAGTCCTCTCCTCTCTCCCGGTGAGGTGACCCAAGCCTTCGTCCTGCCTTACTTGAAATCAGACTGTACCCACATTGAGCTAAGCCTGCACATCCTTAACAAGGTCCTGGGGCTACAGTCGGGGCAGGACGAACACTGGATAAAGACCTGCCACCCCTTCCCTCTCCTTCTTGGCCTCTGCAAGCTCCTAGACAGCTACACACATTACTGGCATCAGGTGAAGGACCAACCCTGTCCTGCACTGGAGACCAAAGACTTGGTAGCTGCCACCTTGGCCCAGCTGTGCGAGGTGGTGGAGCAGAAAGCCGCCCCCTCTCTGGAGGTCTGGAACCAGTCGCTGGCCTGGCTGCACCGCAGGGTGGAGCCATTGGACTGGACGGTCGGTCTCCGGCTGAAGAAGCTTTATGGCAATCATTTCAAGAACGAGGTCCCAGCCACGCTTTTCGAGATCTGCAAGCTCTCGGAGGACGAGTGGACATCCCGCCCACTCCTGGCCTATGGGCCAGGCAGTGGTCTCCTGGCGTGGATAGAGTGCTGCTGTATCTCTACTGCGCTGCGGGAGCAGATGCTGGTGCTTCTGGCCATCAACGTGGACAATCCCGAAGAAGTCAACCTCTTCAGCAAGGGCTTCCTGGTGGCCCTTGTCCAGATTCTTCCGTGGTGCACTCACGGGGAGTGGAAGAGGCTGGCCCACGTGATCCAGAGCTTGCTGCAGCGGCAGGTCCTCCACGTGCCCTACAGCTTGGAGTACGTGCAGTACATGCCGCTACTGAACCTCAAGCCGTTCGCCCACCCACTGCAGTTCTCCGTGCTCCTCCTGCGAGGGTTCCAGTTCCTGTGCAGCTCCAGCTGCTCCACCTGGCTGCTGGAGGAAGCCTGGCAGCACATGGTGAGACTCTACTGTGCCAGCCTCACGGATCTGCTGGGCACAGTCAAGGGGGCCCTGCCATCCCCCTGTCCCACAGCTGAGGACAAGGACCTGACACAAGAGGCCTCTTTTGTCTACATCCAGCTCTTCTGCCACGTGCTGCACGTGGTGGCCATGCTCCCAGACAACGGCTGCAGCGAGCCCCTTGGGGTGCTGGCCCTCGAGACTGTCTCGCAGTATGACGCGCTCTGCGCCATCGACCGCTCCCTCAACAGCTCACTCCGGAGGGCCAACGAGAAGTACTTCCTGGCATCAATCGCTGACAGTGTCAGCCACCAGGAGCTGCGTGCCGCGCTCCAGCAGAAGCTGAGCAAGCTGTGAGCTGGGCTGGGCTTGCCTGGAAATGCGGCGCCCCGGCTCGGCCCTGTGGGTCGCAAGCACTGGGGCTGCGTGGTGTGGAAACTCCCCAGTGGAGGAGGTGGTAGCTGCAGATTTGTTACATCTATAATAAACCTTTTGCTTTTTCCTTCCTTTTGAGTTTTGCGGGGGGGTATTTTTCAGCAGGCCAAAGGGTTTAAGTGTGGGTGTCAGGTGATCTCAGGGCTGTGTCCCATCCCCAGAACTCTGCCCAGGAGCATCAACACACTGTTCAGATGCCTCCATCTATTGTGGGGGTTAAGCGACAGGCTGATAGCCTGGTACCTGCCTCTGGTGGGTGAGGATCAGCAGGGAGCTCAGCCCCTGTTGTCTGCTCAGTCACTGGGCCCTCGAACACTGCCTGCAGGGGTGACTTACATCAGGGGCACCTGCCCACTGGGAAAATACCCTGGCGTGTCCTGAGCCCCCACGGTAATGGATGGAGGTGCAGAGAGATGAGCGGGCTACACAAGACTCGCTGCGCTTGGGTTCTGAACAGATTTCTTTATTGGTCTCTTCCGAGGGTGCAGTAGTAACCAGGGTAGTGTTAGTGCAAATGGAAAGGCCTCGACTGGTCCATTCGGCCTTTCCTTTATTTAAGACGTTATTTGTAATACAGATGGCAAGAGAAACGTATCCGCAGCCATCCGTCCCGTGTAGGAGCTTCTCTGGCTGGCTTTTGTTGTGCATTAGGAAGCCCCTGTTGCAGGAGGGGAACAGCTGTGGCAGCTGCTTTGGAAAGAGCTGCTTTCTTTGCTAGTTCAGCTGCATGGGGCTGGGCTGGGCCTCAGGCCTGCTGCCTCCAGGATAGGGGGCTCAGAGCTAAGGGCTTCCAAACCCCACTGTTAGGCCTAGGGCATAAACACAAAGCCATGAGGTGGCCGTGGTCTCTGTAAACTTACTCTGTAGGTGGCTAAGATGAGGCTGAGGGGAGGGGGCAGATTTGCCTCTTGGGGTCACGCCCCAGGGACAAACGCGGCCCGGTAGTGCTGGCACTACAGGTTACAAGGAGTGGGGACCTGTTTGGACGTGTCTCGCACGTATGGGACTCGCCTTGCTGGTGGCTGCGGGGACCAGCCAGCGTTTGGCTTAGACACCTGTTGGGGCTGTTGTTGCCCAGTGACGAGGACGGGTCCAACTCGGCTCTGGAGTGGGAGCGCTGCAGGCTGGGGACCGTTCCCGTAGATTTGGGGCACTTTGGTGGGGAGGGGAAGTGTTTGCTCTTCTGTCAGCACAGCAGAGTGCTGGGGCCAGTCGGCCTGGATGCAGCAGGCAGACAACTAGCTCTAGGGTAGGTTCAGGGACGCTGCCTGCTCCGGCAGCTTGTGTGGTTTCGTGCCTAGACCCCAGATCCGGTTCCTTCCTTGGGGTTTTGCTCGGCCTTCTCTGCGTGGAGAGGCGAAGGGCTGGGCTGGAGGGTTGGGCAGGAGGCAGCACTGACATGCTGTCTGGTGATTCTCCAGGCTCACGATGTAATCGTGTTTGCACTGGGCACACTGACACACAGGATCCACTTTCTGGCAGTGCCTGTGCCAGAGCATGGCGTGCTCTGGGTCCCCACTGCTGGCACCAGGGTTACCTTGGGTCAGTCCTGGGACACATCTGCATGGAGCGTAGCCAGAGGCAGACACTGCCTAGCAGCAACCAGAGGGAACCAGCAGAGTTCAGCGCCAGCACTGGGGCGATGGGAACTGAATGTCAGGAGCAGGCTGCTCTGGGCAGCACCTCCTGCACCGTCCTCCTGGGCCGAGACACCACTCTCAGTGCCCAGGTAAGGACTGGTCTTGCACTGCTGCCACATGCTAGGCAGTGCTAGTGACACCCAGGTCCCTTACAGCACTGGCTTCAGCCTCGTCTCCCCCTAGCCCCAGTCTGGCTGTTCAGAGTCAGTTTTGCTGCATCAGTCATAGAATAACAGACAATGAGGGTGGCAGGGACCTCGGGAGGTCACATCTAGTCCAACCTCCTACTCAAAGCACGACCAGCCCCGACTAGATCATCCCAGCCAAGACTTTGTCTAGCTGGGTCTTAAAAACCTCCCAGGATGGAGGACCAGTGCTGTGAGCTGTCCCCTCCACCCCGTGGTCTGCAGCATCTAACAAATGAGCAGTTTGCAAAGGGCCTGATCCCAACAAGAATCTCGCACTTCTCTGGGCAATGCTCCCACTCACTGGCTCATGCCCAGGCAGTGCCATGGGCAGGGTGCTCGAGTGTTACAGGGGGAAAAGTCCTCCTGCGAGAGGCTGGCGCTGCTTCCCAGGCTCGCCATGGGGACAGCATGGAAATCCAAACACCCTCACTGTCCCAGGGGGTGCGGCTCTGTCCCCAAGGTGGTGCCTCCAACACTGACTGTACGGGCAAGGCGGCTGGGCAGAGTGCCAGGTGCTGGCCCTGTTCCCAGCCTTGTGCTCCGCAGCCCACGCCAGCCACTATCGGCTCTTGTCAGACGAGGAGTAACTGTAGAGGCGGAGGGCTTTTCTGCAGATCAGCACGAACCAGTAGAGCTGTGGGGCAATGAGGCAGGCATTGGCCACGTTGCAGTGCACGGGGATGTGGAAGGGGGCTGCGTAGAGGGGGATGCCCACCTGCCGGGCATATGCCCCGTACATGAAGGGGAAGAGCAGGATGCGGCAGAGGAGGAAGGTCACCAGGATGAGGACCCCATTCACCTTGTGCAGCCACGTGTCCTGCATGTTTAGCTGTGGAAGCAAACAGGGTGGGGGGGATGAGTGCCGTGCCAGTGCCGCCTCCCCATGCCTTCCTCCGTGATGGATAACTGCGCCTGCCTTGCTGGGGTGCGTGGAGATCTATGGATCGGTCCTTGCCCCATTGAGCTTACAGTCTAAGGGCCAGGTCCAGCCCTTACTCTAGGCCATGGCAAGACTTGTGGACTCCCAAGGGCTTTGGGCCAGGCTCTAAGACAGGCTGGCAGGAGCAGAAAAGGAAACGACTTCCTAAGGAGAGAGGAGCAGTGAGGAGAGGAAAGGGAAACCCTTGGAAGAGGGATAAGGGATAATGAGCACAGCAGAGAGGGCAGTTTTGGACAGGATGCTGGACTTGGTGGAGGAGGCGAGCGTGACTGCTTGCTACCAGATCACTTCAGTGCAACCGGGGCAGGACCAGGCTCAAATCCCTGCAGATCCTGTCCGTGCTGCTTTCTGGCTGGTGGCTCGATCATAGCAAGAGACCGACTGATGTCAACTTCAGCCCATAGCATGGGGGAAGCCCATGGGAACCAGGACCCACTTTAAACAGGCACCAGCCCTGCCAGCACTGTTCTGTTCACCTTTCATTTGGAAACCCAGGCTGGGGCTTCGCTCTCCCTCTACACCGTGCCAGCACAACAGCAGATGTCACCTCCCTGCTGCAGAGACGGAGAAGCCGCGGTGGCAAAAGGGGATGGTGCAGAGCCCAGGTTGCTGAACAGAAGGTGGGTGGGGAGTAGCAGGGCCCGTTCTGGTGTTCCCAAGGGACCTGGTCTCAGCCTGAAGGGCTGGAGTAGCTGCCCCGTCCTCCCACCCGCACTGCGTTGCGGACCCGCAGGCCGTACCTGCATCAGGGTTTTACCCAGTGACACGAACGGAGTGCTCAGTTCTGCCAGGAAGATGCAGCCGACGAAGAAATCCCCCAGCTCCCCACGGAAGTGCTGTGGACAGACAGAACGGCATGAACACACCAGCAGTTTTTCCCGCGTGCTTAGAGCCTGCTCTGCTGCAGCCAACCGAAGGCTTCCCTTGCCCCCGCTGGACCTAGCCCTTCCAGAAGGCAAACTGCAGGAGCATGAGTCCTGTGCTGGGGTGATGCAAGTGGCACCCTGGAAACCGCTTGAAATTAAAACCAGCTCTGCTGGTGGCAGCTGGTTCATGGCACAGGGGCATGGATCCCAGAGCTACACCTGCTCACCAAGTGGTCAGAGGAATGGAGCTGAGCTCTCCTGGCTGCCAGCCAACCCAGGCATGCAGCACAGGTGCATTGAGAGCCACATGGGAGGTGCTGGGAAGCAGCACACAACTCACTAGAGTCCCTGCATGTCACTCCCCATGTAAAGCTGAGTTACACCGTGCACTGTGTTACAGTGAACCTTGTGCCTTTCCGGGGGGGGCGCTGGGAGCCAGAGCACTGCCCCCTTGCCCCCCGTACCCGCCCTTACCTGCGTGATTGGTGTGAGGACGATGAGGATGAAGAGGTGGTGGGTCACCATGAGGCGTTCCTTCTTCAGGAAGCTCCTCACACTGGCCAGTGAGTTCTTCTTTTCCACCGTCCCCATGTCTTTGCTTCTGTGCCAGTGGCACAGGTACATGACATAGATGTCATAGGTCATGTAGGGAACGATGACCCAGACGTATTCTACCGCCAGCCAGTGCCTGTGGGGAGCAAGGAGCACAGAGCGGCAGCCTGCTGCATGCTCAGGGACCCCGGGAGGTGGGGGCAGTCCAAGCGTCTGAGTCACCTGTGTGCGTCTCCGGCTACAGCCTGTGGCTATGCCTCCAGGGCCCAAAGTAGCGCTCACTTCTAATAGGCGACCCCCTGTGACTAACTGGACACCAGCCTTCCCAGGGCCATGTTGAGCCTCTCTCATTTATCCCCTCACCTGTGGCTGCTGCTTTCACTCGCAGGGCCTCTTGCATCAGAGGATCCCAAAATGCACACGTGCAGAGCTAGAGAAGTGTCCAAAGGGGGACGCTTCCCCACCTCACCCACGGGAACGGCTGTTTGCAAATCCCGCCGAGATCCCTGCATCCACATGGGTTAGTCCCTGGTGATGAGACATCTGCCTCGTGTTTTATTCGTGCAGTAAAATGCCTTGCGATGGGTGGTTATTGGGAAATAACTGCATGTCATTGCCTGTTCTCACTGCATTTTAGAGTCGCAATTGCCCAAGGAAAGCTAACTGCAGGTGCTGTTTGCAGAGAGACCGGCTTTTTTTATGTGGGGCAGCAGAAATGTGGTCTGAATCCTGCCATCACGGTCCTGATGCCTGCCTTGTGGTCCTGTTTCAGATGGGGATCTGCCCAGCCATCAGAAGGGATCTGATAGTTGCTGGGTGGGGCACACTTTGACTTGACCTCCTCTGGGAACAGCTGTGGGATCCAGAACAACTAGCAGGGCTTTCCTTTGCATGTTAGAGGTCTTGTTCCTTTACTGCAATATTGAAGTGCTCCACTGTGACACCTGCTATCTGCAGCCCTCAGTCTTACTATCCTGTTACTTTAGCCACTGGATCTAAATCTTTAGCAACCTCAGCTTTTTCTCTGAAGGCCACGGTTTTTAAAAGGGTATCAGAATGAGAAACAGCTCCAGACAACAGGAAGGCTGTTGAACAAGCATTTGTCTGGGAGCAGGCATGAGGGGCAGTTGCAGACGTGGCCTGTTCCTGCAACCACTTTTCTTGTGTCTTACAGCTCTGTTATTTTATGCCATGATCTCAACAGATTTCTTATGCTAAGCAGGGTTGAGGAAGTCTGATCCATGGGTGGGAGGCCTCCACTAATACCTAGGAGCTGGGAGAAATAGTACTGATGGCTTAGGTGATTAAATTCTTTCCTCTGGGTTACTGCTGAACGAAAGCCCAGCCAGCACGGTGCTCTCGCATTCAGTGCAACCCCAACATCTTACTCAACTGTAGTTGTTATCAATCTCTTGGCACTTTTCAAACAGTTGACTCTGGTGTGTTGGCCAAATTCCAGCTCTAGTCATTACGTTCTCCCTTCCTATAATTCTCCAGGCTGTTCCAGATAGCTGTAATAGCATGTTTAAAGTTTTCTCGCCTACGTGATTGTATAAGTCGGCTGTGAGCTGTTACATCTCAGTGCAGAGGTGGCTGCGTGTCAAGGGCAGGTGAAGGCATTTCTCTCTAGATTTGCGTGTTATTTTAGTGAGTGCAGAGCACTGCAGAGTCCTTTGGGACTGGAAACCAGTGCCTAGATGTGCCTTGAGCACATTTCCTCTCAGCAGTCCCCTTGGATTCCCCCCTCTGAATGCTGGGATTGCAGCACAGGGTGCTTCGTGGCTCTTGGGCTAGTGGTGGTGGCCTTCTCTCTCTTTTTTGTTGTTGTTGCTTCCAACTGAGTTAATTAAAATATAAAATGGATCAGTGGTGGGAGAGATGCCCCTGTCCACATCTCCAACTCAGTTTAATAGAGCACAGCAACTGCCCACTCTCTTCAGTGGGCAGAATTAGTGACATGTATCCCTTGCAAAAGTACAGCCTGGCTCGGATCGCTGCTAGGCTTCATTACCTGTCGCGTACGACGTCGTTGCAGTTCAGGACGACAATGATCCCGGAGGCAGCAGCCATGACCGCTTGGACAGAGGACACCAGCCTGAAGGTGACAGATCAGGAAAAGGTCAGGGCAGTGCTCTGCTTCTTGGGGCAACAATGCAGGTGGCTGGAGACGCCGTAAAGTGGCTTCTCACTCAGGCACGCACCAGGCCCATCATTGACCCCCGTGCCAGGCCACAGTGTCCTCGGCCACAGTGAACCGCCCCAGGTTCAGGGGTGCTCAGGTCCCTGCCCTAACCCGTGCGGCTGGAGGCTGCAGCTTGCAATTTGCTGCTGCCGCCTGAAGGTAAGAGGGGGTGCCCCAAACAGTGCGGCCCAGGGAAGGCCAGGCTCAGCTCCCCGGATGGCTGGGCAGGGCATGGCTCTCATGTCGCACTGGGCAGCAGGGATCTGCAACCTGCCAGCCAGTGCTGGGCGCCCA